GAACATTGTCGAACCGAGTAGCAATAACCACGGATTATCGCCGTCCGTTCATTTGCCGATCAATCGTGAACCTTGACGTTTTTAAAATAGCCAGCCAATCGTTCGAGTAAATACTTGCTAGCTGGCTATCTTCCACCCATGGTGGAATATCCGTGTTCGATTGTATTATTGTTTCCAATTAAAAAAAAAAAAAAAAAAAAAAAAAGGAGTAGCAATAACGGATACAATGACACGATGCGACGCGGAAACGAATAAAACGAAAAAAAAAAAAAGAAAAAAAAAAAAAAAAAAAAAAAGAAGCGAACGCGCGCCGTTTTGTCTCGCGTTGTCGAAAAACTACTCGTCACGACTCGGCTACAGTGTCACCATCTGTCGGTTTTGCCCGAAAACAAAAAAAAAAGAAGAAGAAGAGAAAGAAGAAGAAGAAGAAGGAGAAGGAAAAAAAACAAAAGGCGAAACTACTCCGCTCGTAAAGCATCGTTCACACCGTTGAACGTGGTTGGACGAGGCCGGCAACCACGTATCAGCCAACGATAAGTCCTCAACGATCTACCGATAACGCGGCAAACTACTCCTCTGCCGGCCAACTACCGCAACTTATCAACGCAACTTTTTCCCTCCATCGAAACGGGTTTCCCTCGTATTTACGCATCGTGTATCCTATCGCGAAATCCGTCATCGCGAAACGTTCGCTTTCTCTCCTTGGAAACCGTCGATTTGTCGCCGATACCCGCCGACTTCTCGCCTCCGCGCAACTCGCCACAGAAAATTCGATTTCTCGTTCGGTTCGAACGAAACGAAACGAAAAGAATAAGAAAAAGCTCGCGTTAATATCCAACGCGTTCGCCGCGTAACGCTGATCGCGTTGCGCCACGGGTCGCCGTGCATCGATCCTTCGATACCGCTTACTTTTACCAATTTTTCTTATTTCTCCTTCGATCGCAAGCTTTCGACTCGACTTATTCGTCTCGATTCCATCGTCGATCCGAGCATTATTTCGCGTTCGGAAAAGGGGATAGAATCGGTGGCATTCTTTTTATACCGTTTTTCGAAAAAATTTGAGAATCGTTCGAGCCGTGTATATATATATATATATATATATATAACGTGTCACTCGATCCGTAGCAGCGAAGTAGCTATCTGCGATGTCGGTGAAACGTCGGTATAATGTAATCCTCGGGGACACGGTTTACACCAGGAATCGCGAAAATGCGTCTCGAAAACTTGCGATCCGAGCATCGAACATCGGATTCGTCAGAAAAATGCAATGCTTCTCTCGATTCACTTCGGTTCGTAGAATCGGTTGAAATTTGGAAATCGAAAATCGATGACGACTCGATCGATCGAAAAAAAAAAAAAAAAACTAAAAACTTTTCTTCGCGTTCCTGTTCGCTCTCGCTTTCGAAGTTCACCTTCTCGCGGAGCAAAGTGTTGGAGACCACTCGAAACGTCGGATATCTTATCGTCTCCATCCAACCGATATTGATTCTACGCAAATACCGTGAAATCGTGTCGTGTAGAGACAGAGAGAGAGAGAGAGAGAGAGAGACTCGCGAATCGTGTCAAATTTGACTTTCTACCCGAGGAGTAGATAACGCGAATTTAGAATTTTCGTCTGGCACGAAGCGACGATATCGTCTAGCCTAGTTTTATCGTTGCGTGTTCGCCGCAAAGAAAGATTCTTAAACATCGTGTTCCGTGCCATTTTTTCTCTTTTTCTTTCTTTCTTTCTTTCTTTCTTTCTTTTTTTTTTTTTCTTCGCGCCAATACATACGTAATCCGCTT